CGATCAGCTTCTCAATGTTCTCTTCAACAAGAACTGGAAAATTGTAGCCTTGTTTACGAACAATACCAAGCGCCTCTTTTGCTCCGACCCACTGAGCCGCGGTCGATATCAACTCATTAGCCTTCTCCTTACGGGAAAGCGATTCCTTCACTTTGCCGACCAAACCCGCATAGTGGTTGTTCACCGCAACCGACGTGCGCTTCGCCACTTCTTGCCCGAAGGCAATTTTCTCCTCTTCAGCAGCTTTCAGCTCGGCCTCCAGCTTCCTTTGCGAGTGGGCCCTCTCTTTCTTTATAGCCTTTACTGCTCGGTTGAGCAGTTTGCTTTTTTTGACATCATCGGCGCGAACCTTCTCGAGCTCCTCGGAAGATTTTTGAAGCGCAATTTCCAGCTCAGCCCTTCTTCCCCGTTCGGCTTCGAGAGATTCCTCGAGACCCTCCATTTCGGCCTCTTCGGCCAAACGTCTCTTCACGTCCCGGTCGTACTCATTCATAACGGTCAATGCCGTGTTCAAGGCCTATTATATACAAAAAATATCAGCATTTGGAATCATTTGTATGCGAGAAAATTACAAAGGGTCATTCGAGGTATCTTTACCTTGGCCTGTTCGTGCGCATAACGCGCGATCGCATCACTGCGAATGTACCAGCGAGGGTTCGTAGGTGGACCTGCTGGATTGTCCCTCAACTTAAGGAAATAATCCAGACAGGACACCGAGTCATGCACTATCGGGCTATCTCCGCGATACCCGTAGGAAAACCCGAACGGGCGTAGTTGTCTCTCGGCACGAGACCTCTTGGATGTCCGCGGTTCTTCAGGAGATCCTTCTGAACTCCGCTTCCTCGGGTTAATAGGGCTTCTTTCGCCGCCTACACTTCCACCTGCGATGTTATCGTCATTGCTCCTCTGCACTAGCTCGGCTTCCTTGCGAGCTTTCTCTGCTTTCTTAGCAGCCTTTCTATCGGCCGCTTTCTTAGTTTTGGCCGCTTCCCTCTCACCTTTTTCAAGAACCTCCTGTTCGGCCTTCTTAGCCGCAGAATTTTCTGGATCTCGAACTTCAGGAGATCCAAGGGCAGACTCCAGATCGGCCGACAGATCCTTAAAAATGACAGACTTCATCTTCTCTCGTCGTCGGGAGCGTCGTTCAAGCGCAGCTGAGAAATAAATAAAAAAGTCAGATCAAATGGAAAGCCCCCGAGTGTCAAAGCAGGTTTAGGAAAGTAAACGAACCTCTTGTCCTCGCAATCCTTTCTTCTGTGATCTCGGGCCAAGTGATCGCGCCAATCGCAGTAAATCGATCGGAGATATCGTCGATATCGAGAGGATCGTCAACGAATGGAAGAGGCCTGTTTCCTGTAGAATAAAAAAGATTTGATCAGAAAAAAAAATAACAAGTTACGCTGTATTTCATATCGGTCATGTCTCTACCCATGACCTCCGCCCATTTCGTTCTGATCGGGATATCTCTATCTGCGTCGGCGATGGAAAATTCGTTGATTAGCACGAAGAAATACCGATCTCTCCAATCCGCCACCTTGTTTTTGTGACCGCCAGTCACGATGTTGTATCGAGTCTTCATACTCGTATAATACGAACCACGGTTCCTCAAATGAGCCTTCGTACGACGGGTGTTCGTAATAGCATCGAAGGCTGCTCGACTCAATAGGATATCATGCCCGATCGACATCACAAGCATGCTAACAATCAAGCGTATCGTCACATGGGTGAACTGGCTGATCGGTATTTCTTTGTGGGCGGCGAATTCCAGAAGAAGCCTCGGAAGCGGGAACCAGAGATAGAAGTCCATGAAAAAGCATTCGTGAAGACATAACCATCCCTTAGGAGCATCCCACGGTCGCTCCGACGGGCTCGGAACCATGAAGACCACCTCAGGTCCGATGTCACACTCTTCCTTTAAGGTAACCAGCGACTCCAAGGTAGATTTGGTCGGCATCACTCCAAGAGCGTTGTCGCAGATCGGCTTAATTACCGGCTCCCCTTTTTGCTTCTTAATTTTCTTCACCGGCGGATTCATATCGATGATGCCAAATTGATTGACTTCATCCTCAACGATGATGGCGTTGAGCTCGTCCGAGATATCCATCTCGTTCGACCCGTCTCTCACATCGTCTTCATCTCGCAATTCGGGAATCCCGAATTCAACTCTAGACGACGTTTCTCCAGATTTCTGGACAATTCCGATTTGATCGGCGTTGAACCGATCGGTCGCAGCTTGTTGGTTCTTCTCTCGAACGCGTTCCTGGAACGCACGATCCAACGCCGATAACTCGCTCGCATCCGAGGACCGATCCGACTCTGATTCCTCAACAACGACCCGTTTTCCCTTCGATCGGCTTTTATCGACCTGGTTGTCAGCTCTCTTCTGTGCCGATCTGATTTCCTCTGAGCCTGGTCGTTTTTCCCTGATTTGAATGCTTTTACCCATGCTTGATCGGCGCTCAGAACGAAACACGGCAGAGGTCTAGTCGGCAGATCTAAAATTCTAAACAAAAGAAGAACAAGGAAGAGGGGAGAGAGCAAACCTGATTTTGACAGAGTTTCGCTAGAAATGCAGAAGTGAAGAAATTGAAGCCGAGTCCCCCTTATTTATAGAAATGTCTGGACGGTTACCGAGAGTCATCATGAGCACGGCGACTTTTCACATTTCTTCTTATTAATTTTAATCGGCCTCTTCGCCTTCACCTGCTAGGGTTTGACACGTGTCAACCCTAGTTTTGCATGCGCAAACCTAGGCCTAGCCTACATCATCTTTTAGGCGGGAATTTTCCGTGCCTAGAATCACAATCTGGCCTTCATCACCGCGCCGATCAGAAGTCCAGGTAATAATTTCATTTTTATTCTAACTTTTTTTACAGCCGACCAGAATGCATACCAAGCAATACATCATGAAGTTCACCAAGTAACGTACCCTCACTTGCCAAACTGGAAGGGGGGGGGGGGGGGGGGGGGGACTTACTGTTAGAGATGAGATCTGTACCGTCTGGGTTAGAGATGAGATCTGGGTTTCAATACCATTTAGGAGCTTTGTGAATATAAGTTGGATTGGATCTTCAAGCTAACTTCGGTGTGTATCGTTCTAGGAAAAATAAGATGCTTGGTCCAAAGTCTAAACATTAGGGATTTTTTATGTGCATTAAACTAAATGAAACCAATCTTTCCAAGGTATAGAACACTATATATCAAATTCTAATTATTCTTATTATTTTTTTGGTCTAGCTTTATTAGAAAAGGGATACTCAACAAAGGAGCAGAAACAAAAGTCTAACAATGAACTCCATCAATGCACATAGATGGAAACTGTGCCAAAAAGATAAGAAACTAGAATCAAAGCTCCTAATAGGAAGAAGAAGAAATAGATACAATACTAGAATGATGCTCCTAATTTCTTCTACACTGCTTTAAGTTGGAGCACGGACTATGACTGTCTGAATCAAACCGTAACAGCTAAACATTCCACCATGACAAAGTCCACAATCACAACATCACACCACTGTACCTTACACTAAATCTCTCCTCTTTGCCGTCTTTCAAAAGCAATCTCAGCACACCAAATATCTACTGTTGTTTTATCACCATATTTGTGAAAGAACAGAGCCAATTTCCGATCGTAACTAACTGTCTTAGGCTTCCATGAATTGGTCATTTTCGGAAACAATTCTTCCAAACCTTTCACCACCCTCCAACACTTCTGTTTTGGATCATACGCTATTAACTTATTAACTTGTTCTTGTAAATTAACATCGTAATAGTACAATATGCACCCTTTCAAATTCTATATTTCAAAATCTCTTTCAATTCCCATTTACTTTCTTTTGGTTCATAAACAAAGCTTTTCTTAAAATCTCTCATGTAAAATTTATCCTCCATCACCACAGAGTTAGACCACGAGTCACCTAGCTATCTTCATGTCCGGCTTTGTCTTCAGAGGCTCCCACGTTTGAGTTTCTGTATCCAACAACATGACTCTCTTCTCTTCCTCACCCAAACAATCTCCGTTTACGTAAATCTTCCCATTGATGATGCCAGCGACCGTAATGGACTAAGGAAAGTCGGAGATGGGCTTCACCGTGTGAGATCTACAGTCGATGCTTAGAGCAATCGACTTAGTATCTAAATAAGGACATCCAGGTAAGAAATATATATTCGAACCCACCGTAGCTTCCAGTGCCTTGCATTGGAAGCGACCGGATAATGACCAAGCGATTTCTGTTAACTTTCCGGCGGAGATTGTACAAACCGTAATCTTTGGTTTCATCGTTATAGAGGACAACGTAGAGACAGTGCTCGGTGCAGCCTAACAAGGATCGTCTAGTGTATAGCTCAGGCGACGCGACGAGTGACTGGAAACTCTTGGAAACGAGGAAGATACTCGGATACACGTGCTACAGTATCAAGGATGATGTCTTCCGGAAGTGACGTAATTAGAAACGACGGCGGTTGCTCATTCTCTGCTTTGGAAGACATCTAAAAAGAGTTGTAATCAAGAATCGCCGAGCTCTGATTGAATTTCAAATTAAGAATAGATGATGGATGAGTCTCAGACAATCCCTTTGGTTTGTGGCCTATCTCTATCGAATAGGGTTTTCAAACTAGCTAAATCTCTCCACGGTCAAACCCTAAAATTTGAAGACTCTCAAATAATATTCTTCTTTTTTGTTTGACATCTTAAAATAATCTCTTTAGCCTCTCGCATGTTAAGTTGATTGTAACTTCGAACCACCATAATACGATAAAGGCGATTGGAGGAAATAATTGGAGAATTCGGTTAGGAGTATAAATATTTTATGCAAATCAAGATAAAACTTTAAGTAGTTCGGTTGATTACAATTTATAAGTACTGGTTATTGAGGTTCTCTTTTTTATTTTTCTTTTTTTTTTGTCAAAAATTGATCACTGAGTCTTGAAGAATAAAAACTGCATGATACATTGGAATAATATTGCATGTTGAATAGAAATGTACACAAAGAAGCAAGTGATGTTTATATTTGGCTTATATATTTGCTGAATAATTTATCAACGATAACTTGATAGGCTTTTTCGGTCGGATGGTAACTATCCCAAAAAATATAGGCCGAGGAATTAGAACATGTAAAAGGATTCAATGAATTGCACAGATAAGAAACTGCAAGATAACCAGTACCACAACATCCTTTATCCGCTACCTCAAAACCTGAAACAAATTAAGATAGTTTAGTTGTAAATGAGTTCACGTTGTGTAACACAAATAAATAAATATATGCATAGGTAAGAGGTACTTACCAAATTTTTTAGGGTTTTGGATCATGTCTAAAAAGGTATCATAAACATCAATGTAAAGAATAATACCATCCAACTCTTTATTTAAAGAATTCAAAGCTGGGGAAAGTTTTGAGTTGAATTGTTTTGCCATGTCGTTTAAACGTGTAGTACATCCTCTATTTATACCTCCAAACAATGTTTTCTGAATGGGTACACATCCAATAGGAACTGCACTAAACACTCCAATGTTTTTAGCTCCAAACTTGTGTAACTCCTAAATATTATATAATAAATAAGTGGTATTTGGATACAATTTTAATATTATATATAATATGTATATATACAAACTGAAAATACTTACTCTTACGAATTTGATTGCCAAATCAGACAAAAAATTGGCATACGAGGTACGATTATATTTATGAGATTGAGCTAAATACGTGTGAGCAATGTCATTACTACTAGAAGCCACAAGAAAAAAACTATTGTCCAAGATATTTTGAGCTCTTTGTTCTCCAAAATGTTGCTTGATATTTGATATATATTCTTGAAAATATATTAGCTGATCCCACATCGATATCACCGACTACAAAAACAAAATAATAGAAAATATATATCACTTATAAGATGAAGTTAGTGTTTAAATGAAATTTTTTTATAACCTACCATAATATTAGCCGTTAATGGATCATAACCAGTTCCTCCAGATGCAAATGTTACACCTTTAAGAAGATTTTTAGGCTTCAAATTTGGACTCAAATATGCTGGCAGTGTTTTACCTAATCCCAATTTTTCCGCTAAAATAGAATTGTTAAAAAAAAAGTGTATCAGAAATATAAAAATAGCTACACTCTTTTTTATAGGCAAATGTAAAAATTATTAAAAAAAATTTACCAATAAGATCTGTGGGAACCCTTCCATCACAAAATCTTCCAGAAGCAAAGCCACCAGGATAGTTTTTGCCATAAGGAGCGAAGTTGCATTTTAGAAGAGTGGGGAGATTGTTGTTATTACCCGTATCCATTACTGAATCTCCAAACACTATTAGTGCTGGGATTTTTCTATTCTTTCCTTCATTCGTTGCATTAGTTTCGTCGGCTATTAGTACCAAAGTGACGTACCATAACAATTGAAGCTTCATTGTTTTGTTTGATTAATTTTTACTTTTCTGTTAGTTTTGCTTGTGATTTAAAAATTTGAAAGCACGCATGCATATTTATATATTCAAGGGCGAATCTAATAAGGACGTGCCCCCTAACTTTTTAATAGTTGCAACTTTGTTAGGTAAGTTCTGTGAATGATTGAAGAAGCGTATTTAGGTAATGGTAATGTTCTTGTTAATTTCCGTTTCGTTAAAATATTTTGTCTTACTTTTTATCAACTTTAACTTATTCATCATTGATATTTTAGACGCCTAATGAACATACACTCAATTTGTTATAATCACTCAGTAGTAAGCCATAATCATGATATCAATAATATGTTTAAGTTATGCTTAATCAAAATCGTCGCAATGATGATCTCTTAATTAAAAAGTGTAGCAGATGCATCCACATGTGTTGGGGTTGCATAATATTGTAGATATCGGACGCAATTTCCTACTCTTTTTTTTTGACGCCATGGTTTATGAGAGAACGTGTTAAATCCTTAATAGGGCAGTATGGGCTTCCTACCTTTTAGCTATTTCTCATCATTGATACGAAATGGCTGACAAAACAAAGATAAAACAAACATAGGCTCATTAATGCATTTGATTTATATAAAGTTAGGTCGATATTCTGATATGGTGTGATATATAAAAAAAAATGTCATTTTGTCCCACCTCAATGGCAACCATGCCTGGGAAAGAGATAAAGATCAAAACATGTAACCTGATTGAATTTTTGGAGATTCATCTCGGTCAGAACTCATGCTATATTCAACCGAGTGCATTAACAACGAGTATCACTACGAAATTTAACCTTTTGAACCAGTAGAAATGGCAATGAACCGATTTAAAATACATAATGTGGAAATTCGGTATGTCTATCTCAGGACAGGAAACCTTTCCCAACCCATATAAGTTTCAAATATTATATGTTTAATCATACCGAGAAAAAAATATTGTATGCTTAAGGTCATTTATTTTATTGAAACAGATACAAGAAAACAATATAGTTGAATATGGTATTAAAATAACGCAATTTAAATGTAAAAATTTAAAATTAATGAAAAATATATAACTACAATTATCCAAACTACCTAAATTTGGGTAGTAAATTTAGCTACCTAAATTATCCAAAATGTTCCAAACTACCTAAATGTTTTGGTAGTGATTTTAGCTACCTAAACTTATTTATTGCAAATACTTCAGATGATATTTTTCAATATCTAAAATGCCTTTTTCATCTTTTTATCTCGTTATTTCATGTTATGATTCATAATATATATAGACTTAATGAAAACTGTTGGGTGAAATAAATTCATTAGCCGGTCAATTCCAAAATCAACTTGGTTAATAACGTAGTTGAATGGACACTACTATTTTGGCATTATTTGAAAGCTTCCAATTCTATATAAAAAAGATTATCAACAAAAGTCTTTTAGCATCACAATGACTACGCATTGGCTAATAGCTTGTATTAACGGTTCAGCAATGACTGACAGTTTGGTATAAACGATCAGTTCATATTTTATATTAAAGACTTACATGAGGCAGCAACACAAACTTCTTATTCAAAAATAATTAGGAGCGACCTACATAAGATCGTAATTCAAAGATAATTAGGAACGACCGACATAAGATCTTAATTCAAAGAAAATTATAGGGGATAGCTAATATATATCCTTATTTAAAGAGAACTAAGACGAGTGATCGACAAACAAAATCTAATTCGGTTGAAGCTATTACCAAGTCCAATTCGATTGAAATTATGACTGACCTATCATGCCCAATCCCATGAGAATTAGAATTAAAATAAACCTATGAATAAAAATGTCATGGAAGAATGACGGGAGACACGATCAATAATCTTAAAAACCCTAAGAGCAATACTATCACCGCTCCCATGTTACATCGATGGAGAACCCAACGATGTCGAATAGTTTTGTCGATCGACGACGAGCAAACATATGATATTCTCTTAAGAAAATCTTTCTTATTGATTCATTGTACTTCGATATGTATCGATTAATAAGATATATTATGTAATAACTCGCATATGTACGGGATGAAATAATTATTATCTATTAGAATTCAAGACCATTCTTATAAATTAATTTTTTTTTGTAAAGCCATTTGGTAAAAAATAACACGTATTATATGATAGAAGAAAAAAATACATGATAAAAATATAAATGATATTTGTTATGTGAAACATAAGAATTATATGGTTCTCATTCAATTCTCTATAACTTTAAAACACACATCATAATATTAATATTAGTAAACCACCAATACTTATTTAGCCAAGATTTTCATACACAACAAACTTGATTTCATTTTACATGTGAATAATTGAATAGATGATAAATTATAGGATAAAAATGTAGTGTATACATAATATAACAGAATATTAATTTTAAAATGAATAAATATGGTTAGAGTTTTGAAGCTTTTTGCAATTATTGAATATATAAAAATGATGTGACATATAAAATTATATATATAATTAGCTAAATCTCTCTCCAATGAAGCTATCTACATCAGAAATTTTTAAAATTTTTATGGGCTTTTGAATTTTCATTTTAGTGGGCTTTTATATATTTTATATATACATTTTTTTTACAAAATACAAACTACAAACAAAAATTGTAAATTTTCAGCAGTTTTTTATTTTATTTTTATATGAGCTTTATATTTTTTTTTACTTCTATGGGCCTTTATATATTTGTATATATATGTATAAAATATATTTTTACAAACTACAAAAACTGTAAATTTTTTTTATTTTAATTTTTAGTGGGCTTTTATATACATATTTTCTAGACACACACATGACATAAAAAAGAAAAAAACAAACATTTATTTTACAAAATACAAAAATTGTAAATTATCTACATGCAAAAAATTTACAATACTATTTCGAATAAGAAATAAAGAGAATGTGTGAGATTGATGGTGTATTTATTTTATTGATCTAACTAAAAAACGTTATATTAAAAAAATCCAAATGAATAAATATATTCAGAGAGCATATACATACATACGACAACATATAAATACAAGAACGAGTTTTTTCAACAATTAACATATCGTAATTTATATTAAAATTAATTTCACAATAAATCTATATATTTTACAATAATAAATCAACTACAACAACATTTAAAATTAAAAAAGAATAAAAAATATATAAAAAGTTAAACATAATCTATATATATATATATGATATATCATGGTTTTTATGATTTTTAACCATGATATAAGTCCTTTTTATTGAGTCTTTTTGGTCTTTTTAGAGTCCTAGAAGAGTCTTTGCAGGTTAAAGCATGTCTGGAGCATAATTGGAGATATTGGAACCTTTTGGAGCATTCTGAGTTGAAGCCACGAAGTACCAAGCTCGAAGTAGAAAGTACTCACAATCGGTGACGATCGTCACCCCATTGGTGACGCTCGTCACCCAGATAGGAAGGAGCGTGGCTATTTGTTAAAAGTATCAAGAAGAATTGCAGAATTTACCCAGAAGTTTCCTTTATTTATATGAAGACCCCAGGTCGTGTTTAGCCTCTATTTATTAGGTTTTTCAGCCATTGTTGGCTATGATCTTAGTTTTTGAGAATTCAGAGAGTTAGAGAGAGATTTTATTCAGAGCTTTTTGGGGAGACAAATCCTGTACTCTTTAGAGAAGATTTCGAACCCCCTTTGTTTTCTACTCTTTCTCTTAATGCAATTTTATTCAGTTATGTTTTGTGATCTCATAATCATGTCTGAGTAATCTGCTAGTTAAGTTAGGGTTTTTCAAAGGTTGATGAAAAGAGTGTAGAATCGCTATCTGTTAAGAATATCTCATGGTTTTTCATCTCTACTTGCTTTAAAATCGAATTTCTGAGACACATCATCTAGGAATCCGAAAATCATAGGTTGTTAAATATATGTGAGAGCATTATTCATAACCTGAACTAGTATTTGATGAGCAAAACAACTTAGTACAAAGAGATTTGGCTTAGGAGTTTTGTAAACAATTGAATCTGATCATTCCTGCATACTTAGGTTGTTAGGGTTTGCAAAGAGATTTGAAACTCTGTGATCTAGGTATAGACAACTTTTGCAATGAGAATTGATTAGTTATGCATTAGAGATTCATGTTTAAAAATGGTTCTTAATCATTCCTGATTCCCTGCATTCTACATTCTTGGATTCATACCTGCGAATTACCCTAGCTTAGCGCTTTTAATTTTCCTGAACTTAGAACATATCATACCATCGTTTACTTATTTCTAATTATTCATTCGCATTACATACATCATATTTTGCTTAGCTTAGTCCAAATCTATAATTGATAGTGTAGTTAGCATTACTCTCTTGGGATTTCGATACCCCTTATACTACATCTGCTTTTGCTGTGCACTTGCAGTAGTTTTATTTGGGTAAAACCTGAGCCCTATCAAGTTTTTGGCGCCGTTGCCGGGGAGTAATAGCTGCATATCGATTTTTAGTATTAGGATTTTGTCTAAGTTTTTATTTCTTTACTGATTTTCAGCTACTTTTCTTTGTTCATGTTTCAGGTGTATGCCTAATCGCAGAACCAGAAGCAACAAAGAGAAGGAGCTTGTGACTTTGAGCATCGACGAGCTTGCTAGGTTGGAGAGAACTAACAGGAAAGCTAAGAAGCAATCTGCAATGGTCGCTCCACTGATCTTGGTTGAAGATGCAGAAGGTCACTTGGTTGACAGGAAAGGAAATAGGAGGAACGAAGAGGGGCAGAGAATTGATCAAGAGGGGAATGTCATTGTTGAACAGCAGGTTCAGCAAGTGGCTGAGAACGTGGGAGTCCCTGCTGCTTTCAATAACGCTGCTGGGCGTTTTGTTCAGAGGACTCTAGGCAACTACAACAGACCTGATCAGTTCTATGCCAACAGAGCTGCAATCCGACCTCCTGCCTTCCAGAGGAACGATTTTGAGGTCAAACCTGTCTACTACCAG